ATATATATATATATATATATATACTTCATTTCATAAATTTAAATTGACGGATAATTTTAAAAATATTATATATATTGATTTGAATTAATAAAACAAAATATTAAATAGTTTTTGAAATTTTAAAATTTTATAAATTTCATCTATTTTTTTTACGTAATGATTAGATTGTTAAAATTTAATGTAACATGAGTTATTGAATTAAGTAAGTCTACAATATATATATGTGTGTATTATTTAATTTAGACAATTATTGATATAATTAATACTTTTAACACTTTGAGTGAGCGAAACTTGTTCAAAGCTATCACAAAAGCGCTCCAAGCAATCACAAATTGTTTTTATTCTTGTATTTAATGTTTTTTTGTGGCTTAATCAATCTACGCATGGTTTTATAATTTTTAATTGAGGTTAAAAAATATTTTTTAAAATGATGATCTCTATAAAACGATGATAACATTTATTACCAAGGTATTAGGATAAATCTTATAAGTGATTTTTGGTCCCCCCATCTTAATGCACAATTGTTTAACAAAAATTATTAAGGAATTGGGTTTTTTTTTTAAACAACTCAGAATTTTCCAACTAAGGAATTAAGATTTGTACTATCTGTACCACTAAGCCGAGCTCGAGCTCGGCACCACAGCACAGGCCGACCTTGGACATGCGCTGGGAGACCTCGGCCAAGACGAGGTCCGCTATCTAATTAGGTCATAACCGATCTCAGGCCCAAGGCCCAACGAAACCATAATTCACACCAAGGTACGTGCATTACTTATACGAGACTCATACTCATACAAACCCTAACTTTAGCATCGGAGTCTCTTTTGCAGGTACCACCCCCACCTTGGCATACCAACGTACCAGCGAAGGAGGCTCACCAATCTTACTTGGAGGATCAACCCTACGGAAAATTCCCAGTAAGAACATTTGGCGCCCACCGTGGGGCCGATCAAGACAACTCTTATCGGTCACGCTTATGGTTTGCACCAGAAGCCATAGCAGACGCGCAATAGACGACCTAGATCACACAGCTACCATGGATAACGAAGCCACATTGAGGAGACTGATCGACCAGGTCGAACAGATGCGGCAACAACACGACGCCGATCTACAAAACATGCGTGCCAAGCACGAAATTGACCTAGTAGCGATGCAGACCGCTAATGAAGTTGACCTAGCGGCACTACGCGCCGAAAACGAGCAGATTCGCACCCAACTCCCTCGACGCCCTTCTGATCATCCTCCTCAGGCGAGCAACCTCCACAAGGAAGAAGGGCATCTGGTCTCTCAACCCCAGACAGCGATTAGGGCACTGACTCCGCGACCTGCCACGCATTGGTCTCACGCACCGACGAACAAGTCGGCCCATGAAGTCAGCAAGGCCCCTACTCATGTCACGGGGGGTCAAACAACCTTCCGTCGTCATCCTTTTGTGGATGGAATCATGGAGACGCCACTCCCTCACGGATGGAAGCCTTTCCACATCGACCGCTACGACGACACAACAGATCCAGACGAGCACGTCGATCTGTACATTACACAGGTAAACCTATACACTAATGAAGATGTTATTCTGTGTAGGGTTTTTCTGACCTCGTTCAAGGGGGCAGCGCTCAACTAGTACACTCAATTGCCGGTGGAGTCAATAGACAACTTCGACACTCTAGTAAGGCGATTCACGGCGCAATATGCCACGAGTCGACCTCACCATGTCACATCAGCCGCCTTGGCCAGTCTCAGACAGGGCGGCAACGAATCATTGAGGGAATTCATGGAACGCTTCGCCAGTATCTCGGTCAAGATTCGAAACTTGAACCCCGAGGTCGCCCTACACGCCATGCTCATGGCGCTCAAGCCTGGACCTTTCGTGGACAGCCTGTGTCGACGATCTCCTCTTGATATGGACGAACTTCGTGCCCGAGCTGCAAGGTACATTCAGATGGAAAAGCACTCTGCTTTTCGTGACCAGGTTCGCGACAAACCACAAGGAAAGCAAGACCAAGGTCAGGCCACAAACATTTAAAGTTGGCAACCTTGTTTGGTGGGGTGAGAGAGGCAAGAATAGACCCCTCCTAAGGGAAATTCAGAACTTGGAATGTCACCCACCTCAAATTTTATTTCTCTTAACTTGTAAATTCAGGTGATGTACTCTTTTTCCTCCTCAGCCTTTTTTCCCACTAAAGAAAAGGGTTTTTGGCCAAGGAAGGTTTTAACGAGGCACACCTTAGAAATAATCAACAAAGCAACTCCATTCCCATACATTTTCGGTATTGGCATATAAAACTGTGACGACTTGCCAAGGTCGAGTCCGAACCTTGATATGCCAAGGTCGAGTTCGAACCTTGTTATGCCAAGGTCGAGTCCGAACCTTAAGACTACATTTTCTTAACCAAGGTCGAATTCGAACCTTGATATGCCAAGGTCGAGTCCGAACCTTGAGATCACATTTTCTTAACCAAGGTCGAGTTCGAACCTTGTTATGCCAA